CTGAGTCGTGCCCGAACACCATTCCTGGGACTTCTACGCAGCGAGCGAATCAACGTAACGGTTGCGCCTTTGCAATCCTGAATCGCTCCAAAACACAATTTCTGGTTCCCGCGAAATGCTCGCACATGTTCAAGACGAGTGTGCGCGGCGCTAAGGCGAGAGCCACATCTTGAAAACGCGCCGCCCTCAATCAGTTAAGCTCTTGTACCTTTTTAGAAGACGAGTGCTCGCGGCGTTAGGGCGAGAGCCACACTTTGAAGACGACCCGCCCTCGAGGAGTGAAGCTCTTGCACTGCATGCAATGTTGTGAAGGCAAGTGTGCGCGGCGCGGGGGCGAGAGCCAGCCTCTGGCAGCGACCCGCCCTCCGCTTGTGATGGTGTCGCCACGTCGTAGGCTTCAGGACCACAGGCGGTAAGGCAGTCTCCGGCGACACGCGCCCCGGGCCGCCCTGCCGACTGGCCTCGGGGTGCGGCAGGGAGGAGCTACCTACAAGGAGCAGGAAGGGAGGAGGAGGAGGAGGAGGAGGAGGAGGAGGAGGAGGAGAGGAGGTGGAGGGGGAGGGGGAGGGAAGAGGAGGAGGAGGGGAAGGAGGACGCGGAGGAGGAGGAGGAGGAGGAGGAGGAGGATGTGATAAGGCACGGCAGAAGCGCCGCGCGACGCGCAGGCGCACACCTCGAGGAGGGAGAAAGGGGCAAGAGGCCCCCCTCGAAGCGAAACGAGCAGGCCACTCCCTCCCGGGGGGCTCTCGGGGCAGACCCCTTCGCGGCGCGGTGCGGGCGGCGGCCCTGCTCGAAGCTGCAGAGCAGGCTCGCGGGGGGGGGGGAGGGAGCAGAGGGAGGGCGCGCCCGTGAGGCCGCCGCGCGCCCCTCTCGCTTCCCCCCCACCCGACCACCCGGGCCAGACACGAGCGCCAACGGGTCCAGGAACGGCCCCGGGGCCGGGGGAAAAGTGGTGAGAGGCACCCGCGGGACGCTGCAGGAGCTCGCGCCACCGAGAGCCGCTGGACCCGTGGGCGTGGCGGGGGCGCGGTGGCCGCAGCATTGGCGCGGCCGTGCGACCTCCCCTCGTCTGCGGGGGGCGCCGTCCGGCTACGAGCAGCTTCCGCCTGGCCTCCACGGGCCCTCTCGCCCATCTCCGGGCAGGGCGGGGGGGGGGGGGGCAGTCGAGCACGAGGTGCCCAGCCGCACCCGTGTCGTAACATCTGCAGCGCGCGCACAGAACCGCCCCTCCCGCCGCCGCCGCCCAGCAGCGACGTCCACGAGCCGTTCCTGGCTGGGACGGTTCCTCTCGGCAGCAGGGGTCAAGCTGGCCGGGTGGCCTGGGCGAGGGAGGTACGTTCTCTCTCTCTGGGCATCAGTCCTGGGGCGCTGGGCACCATTCGGTGCAGAGGCTGGCCTTCGCGCTCGCGAAGGCTGTGGCCCACTTGCGTGATGGCTTGCGTCTGCACAGACGTAGGTGGCACGGGTGCCGGCCGCCCGCCCCGCCTCCGAGAGCCCGCGTGGCTGCCTGCATGCCCGCGACAAGGCGGGCAGTGGGCTCGAGGAGCGCCTGGCTGTTACCTTTCAGTCGGGCGTGTCCCTCGACAGGGGGAATCTCCAAAAATTCCATCGCTTCGCTCATTCCGCCGGCCCTGGAGCGCTATTTGGGGCCTCCTGGGGCCGTCCTGGGGGCTTCTTGGGGGCTTCCTGGGAGCGTCTTGGGGCTCCTTGGCGGCGCGTTGGGCTCCCCTGGGGCCTCTTGGGGGGCTCTTGGGGGCCCCTTGGGGCGGGAGGGGGGGTAGCGCTGGCAGCCCCCCCCCCCCATCGGAGGCCACGAGCTCCTGGCTGTTACCTTTAAGTCGGGCGTGTCCCTCTACAGGGGGGAATCTCAAAAAGTTGTTTAATAAAAGGTCTGGGGACGATTTGTTTTACTATATTTGAGCATTTGGGGGGTGTTTTTTTGAGTATCTGTTATTTATCGCCAAAAATCCCCCTGCAGGGGGACACGCCCGACCTCATGTCACCTCGGGTGCCGCCACAGCTCGCTGCAAACGACCGAGCGCGTCGTCAATGGCACTGGGTTGAGCTTCGCTTAGTTCTAGGCACGGAGTGCCCAGAGCCGCTTGCGCGACCCGATCCGGCCGCGCGGGCCTCGACCATGGGCTGATCAAGCTTGCCCGAGGCTTGCTCCAGATCCTTGCGTGGAGAGTCGAACCGATACTGAAGACATTCAACCTGCCGACGTAGTGCCGAGGCCTCCTTTCTCCTTTGCATGATGTTTTCTCCCCCCCCCCCGAGGACCTGCGAAAGAAGCCATCTGGTGCGCGGCTGGCCACTTCGGTTGCTTCTGCATGCGCGAGGTGTTTCTTGGCGGCGGCATAGAGAGGACCTGTCTCATCCAAGCCGAGCCGTCGTAAGGCTGCTGATGTTTCCGAAGCTTTGGTCACCTCGTCAGCAATTGCTAGCTTCTGGGCGTGGGCTGGCCGCTCGGGTCGGGCTGACCTGCCCTATCTCGTCCGCACAGGTAGCGTCTGGGATTGTTCTGACAGTGACAAGCGAAGCCACACTGCCGAGTAGCAGCACAGGCCCATCTGGGCTCCCTCGCGACCTTGATCAGCACTGCGGCTGCCACGACCCGTGGAGTCCAGCAAGAGCGGGACGGGGACACTCGAGCCGTGATGATTTCGAATCAGCTGCGCCACACTATCGAAGGATTGCAAAACATTCAAAAACCTGGATTGCAAAAAAAAGCCCTCGAAGGATTGCAAAAAAAAACCTTCGTTGCAATCCTTCGTTGCAGTCCTTCGACGAGGGTAACTTCTGGCCCAGCTCCTGCGGCGTCCGAGGCCTCTGTGCCGGGCAGGCGGGCGTGATCTTGATCTGACCGTGCCTGAGGACTCCCCCGAGCTTTTGCCGCGCGGCCGAGAGAGATCGGGGCGCCGACATCGCAGAGCGGAGTTCGCTCGGGAAGCAATCGGGTGGGCCCGGAGTGTCCTGGAGAGTGTCGTTCCGGATTTTGCAGTGAACGTTGTGCGGTGTTTTTTTGGGGGGGCCAGGAAGGGAGGCTGAATACAGTCCAGGTGAAGTTTGGTTCGCTTTTCGCTCGCCGCTTCGGGGTCTTGCATTGGCAGGAATCCATTCGAACATCCGCTGGAACACGGCTGCAAGCTCGGTGCAGTGAGAGAGAGAGAGAGAGAGAGAGAGAGAGAGAGAGCGAGCGTCAACCTGGGTGCCATCAGGTCCACCAGCCCGCCGTACAGGGCAGGGCTGGCTCAGGCCCCCCGGGCTTCTCTGCGCGCGCGGGAGCGCGGGCTAGGGCCGTGGCCGCCGGGTTGCCCCGAGGGGACCCGCCTCGGGCCACGACGCCTGAGAGGAGGAGGAGGAGGAGGATGCGGAGGAGGAGGAGGAGGAGGAGGAAGAGGAGGAGGAGGAGGAGGAGGAGGAGGAGGAGGAGGAGGAGGAGGAGGAGGAGGAGGAGGAGGAGGAGGAGGAGGAGAGGAGGAGGGGCGGAGGAGGAGGAGGAGGAGGAGGAGGAGGAAGGGAGGAGGAGGAACGGAACGGGGGAAAGGACGAGCGAGGGAGAGGGGACAGGGTGGCGAGGAGGGAGAAGAGGGGGGTGGGAGGGGAGATTGGGCCGGTGGTCGGGGCGACGGGCTCCTGGAAGGGGTCGCTGACGCAGATCGACCAGACCGACGCGCCCAGGCTGTCCTCCGGGGAGGACACCGTGCAGACTCCCAGCTGCTTCTGGGCCTTGCTCTTCCCTCTCTCCGCCCCCCTTCGTTCCTCCTCCTTCTCCGCCTCCTCCTCCTCCTCCTCCTCCTCCTCCGCCTCCCTCCCCCTCCTCTCCTGCATCTCCACCGTGCTATCATTGTCATTGTTCCTCTGACCCCTCGAAGCTGCCCTCGGGGGGAGGACACGGTGCGGAACACCCACCTGCTGCTGGGCAGCCTCGAGGGGGCCGAGCGAGGTGGGCAGACCCACCCGCTGCTGCGCGGCGTGTGCACCTCCTTCTGGAGGCCCGGCGGCCGTCTAGCCGCCCGCCGGGTGTGGGTGGGGGTGGGGGCGGGGGCAGTAATTCGGCACGAACGAAACGGGTACGGAAAGAATGGGTACAATGCCCAACAGCAGCTCCTGCTCATGCTGAACCGAGCTCGCGGTCCGCGCCGCCGCGGCCTGCGCGTCGGTTCGAGACAGGAGGCCGCCCGCCCGACTGCGGCCGCTGTTGGTTTTGGACAACCTCTGTCGTTGGGCATTGTGTTGTTTCCGTACCCATCTCGTACCCATTTCCGTGCCCATGTGCTGGACAACACGTGTTGAACATGTGGGCCCATTTCTTGGGCATGTGTGCAAATTTGTGGGGCGTTTGGACCCCTTTGTTGGACAACATCTGTTGCTTTCCGTGCCCAGTTTTCGGGCGTCCAAAGTACTTTTTGGGCCTGCGGCCGCTCGGCCCAAAAGCAGCGCGCTCGAGCGGCGGAGGGGGGCGCTTCCGGGGCGAGTTGGGGCACCTGAGCAGACCCAGACCCCCGACGCCGTGACTTTGTTCTCAGCGTCGACCCCCTCCTCCTCCTCCTCCTCCTCCTCCTCCTCCTCCTCCTCCTCCTCCCCCTCCTCCCCCCCCAGCGCTCTGGACCCTTTCCCCCGGACCGGCTCTTCATCCCGATCGTCGTTTTTTTGTCGGCCCCGAGGCCCGGAAAGGGCCCCCGGAGGCCGGAGATGACGAAAAACTTGCCGTCGTGATTTTTGTTCACAGCGCGAGGGGGTCTGGGGACGTGGCGGGAGGCGGGGAGGGGCGCGGGGGGAAAGGATACGGCGCTCAGAACATGCAGCCCTTGTGCGCGCGCCGCGAAGTGGAAGCCCTCGAGGCGCTGGAACGCGAAGCCCGAAAACCGTGAATCACGGCGTGGCAGGAAAAGACAACCGAGGCGCGGCAGGAGAGGACCACACGGGGGGCCAGGAGCAACCCGAGCCGGCCTGGGCCTGGGGGCTGGCAGGTCTGGTTCCCCTGTTGTAGCACCTCGAGGGAAGGAAGACAGCACAGGCAC